GGCCAGAAGAGGCGTCAGATCCCCTGGAGCTCACCTATAGGTAGTTATGAGCTGCACAACAACGAAAGTCTGGTCCTGTGTTAAATGCAGCAAGTACTTTTACTCACTGAGGCATCTCTCGTACCCTGCTCATTATATTTTTATTTGGTCACAAAGTATCTATTTTTTTTATTTGGGGTATGCAAGTCAATTACTTTGAATATAATCATCATGTAGTTAGATTTATAATAGCTCTGTTTTTCAGTTTATCCCACCTCTTCTGTTTCCGTGTTCATCTTTTTCCGATGTTTTTAGATAATTACAATTTTTATGCTTCTATTTTCTCTCCTTTATGGCATGGCTGTGGCGGGCTGCTTTGCCCAGTGTCTGCCTGCAGCGTACATCTTTCATGTCTCACAGCTCTTGGAGGCTTACTTTATCTCTTGCTGCACAGGGTGAGACCTTACACTAAATTCTCATCCCAGTCTACCCCTCCTGGTCTTTGTATCACATCATACCTTTTATTTGACACGTGGAGTTGCCTCGCTGGATGTAAGTCTACCCTTGATTCACTTCTTTCTCCCACCTCAAGGTGTCATCTGTGTTCCACACGAATTCACCCTTGCTATACTTGGGCCTGCATAGTTTATTGAAGCAACGACTCTTGGGTGGGGTAATTGCATGATTCAGCTTATTTATTGCTCAACTCTTAGGGATTAGTGTCTCCTTTATTATTTACCGTCTTGAAAACTGTTACTTCGTGTATTTCGTCCTGTTGGCCCTTGCTAATGGAGAGTAGATCTTGTTACTGCTGCTCTGTTCCCCCTGGCGTGGATATCACAACCCAGATACATTTAATACAGACTAATTTTAATTTTGAAGAAATACAGACTTTAGTGAATTTATTACCCTTTGGAATAAGACATCCATACCTAAAACAGGCAATGGCCAAGAGAGAAAGCCAGTTGACCTCCCCTTGTTCACAAGGCTACAGTTTGAGCTTGCAAGGTTTCTGTCCTGACTGCATCGGCCTGCAAGTGGTAGGTAGAAGGTAGGATCTGAAGTAAACTTTCGCATCACACCCCCACAACATTGTTTAACCAAACTTCTGCTCAGGTCTCTTAGGGAAGAAGAAGAAGAAGAAAAAAAAATCCGGTTATTGGGGAAAATTATAAAGGCCACTCCACGTAGTTAAAAGGAAGATTTATTTAGTGGATGACTTACAAATGAAAGAATGGATAGGTCGCGGGGGTCTGGGGAAGGCGTCTAGCAATCCAGCGGTGTTCTCTGGAGCTCTGCACAATCAATCTCCACCATCCAGGGTCCAG